TCAGTGTTCCTGAAGGTTGACATTCGAACATTATACTAACGTTAAAGCAACATTACTGGACATGAACATTGACTGAAATGTTTGTGTTCATTGGAACCTGTAAGTAATGTTATCTAGATGTAGAGGGAACGTTCTCCGCAGAGTCCAGAAGTTCAGCACATTAAATCAGAGCATTGTGGGACTCTGTCGCCCCCTTCTGGCAGGAGGAGTAACTACAGCAGCAGCAGGATGTGGATCCAGGAGGTTCCAGGAGGTTCCAGGTGTCCTCGGTTCTACACACCTGCCTCCTCCTCACAGCCGGTTCTGAGTTTCTCTGTAGGTTTGTTCAGCTGGTTCCTGTCTGGACAGAACTCTCTGGTTCTGTAAGTCTTTATGCCTTTTAGAACACCGTGTTTGGGTTCTCCTCCAGCACCGGCGTTCAGTGTTCTCCCTCAGTCTGAAGTCCACAGAGGAGGGTCCAGATTGATCACCTAATGAGCCTCAGAACTTCATCAGTCCAGCAGATAGACACATCTGAGTTCTGGTAGAACCTGACACCACATCAATTCTACATCCATCCAGGTGTCTCAGTCTGAACACTGGACCTGGTTCTGATCATGTCTGTATCAACATGTGTGATGGTGGTTGGTCAGAACCAGTTCTAGACTGTTTTACAGATCCCTGTCTGTAGTTTCATCACCACTGGTTCCGTAGAACATCAGCAGCAGAACTTTGTTCAGAGCGTTGCGGGCCTCGTCGTCTGAATGTTCTTCAACCAGAAGCTTCCTTGTCGTCTGGAGAACATCTGATCTGGTGTTCAGAACCACGTCCCTTCAAAGCATTGGCCGTCATATCTTTATTGGTTTTGTATTTTTCCTGTAAATGTCCTGCAGGTTCTGGTGGTTCTGGTGGTTCTGGTAGAGCTGAAACCAGAAGCCGGTTCAAGTGATTCAGTCCTTAATGCTGTTAGCTGGCTGCTGATGGGCTTGATGATGTTTGACTGTAAAGACTCTGCTGAGCCACCAGAACCAGAACCACCAGCAGCACCAGCAGCACCAGAACCAGAACCACCAGCAGCACCAGCAGCTGCTCTCTGGATCGAGCCTCCTTCGACTCAGCGGCTCCTGTTTGTGACCAGCAGGCAGCTGGACGGGCCTTCGCTGTGTTTGACCTGAACTCATGGTGGTGGAAGGTTCTGCAGGTCTGAGTATCGGTCGGTTCCAAACAGGTTCTGACGGGTTGAGAGGAACTTCACTGATAATGATTAGTGGAGCCTTTAAGGAGCCCCAACAATAAAAATATAATAAATATAATGGATATAAAGGCTGTAGTGAGCAGCTTGTGTCAGACGGTCTGATGGATTCACTGATAAACTGGTTGTGTTCTTAAATGCTTAGCGAGCAGAATGAATATTAATCAGATCCACGTGTTAACGACAGTAACGAGGACTCCGTCACCTTTCTGTGATGAACTGATCGTATCGTTGAAACACAACAGGATTTACATTTACTCATGTGTCTGTGATCTGAGCCTGAGCCCGGTGCTGTTGGATCAGTGGTACTGAGCACCACAGCAGAACCTGCTACACTCTGAACAGAATCAGACGTCTGCTTTAGTGAAGGTGGAGGACCTGAGTGGAGCGTATCATCCTGGAGCTGCTGTTCCCTTTAGAACGTTAGCGTTCTGCTAACGGGCTTAGCGTTAGCATTCTGCTAGCTATGTTCAAACACATTTAATACATGAAGTGATGCTCCACAGTTCAGCTGATGTTTATAATCATGTTCAGTGTTTTGTTACCAGCTGTATGCGTGTAACGTGTTCCGTGTGCTGAGCATCATGAACGGCTGACAAGGTTTNCTGTCTGTCTGTCTGTCTGTCTGTCTGTCTGTCTGTCTGACTGTCTGACTGTCTGACTGTCTGTCTGACCCTCACCTGTGTGTCTCTCAGAGCTCCTGTGGACAGCTCCAGAACTATTGAGGTCTCCGATCCGTGGTGGTTCTTTTGCTGGAGACGTCTTTAGTTTCTCCATCATCATCCAGGAAGTGATTTCACGAACGCTGCCGTATGCCATGATGGACATGCCAGCCCACGGTGAGATTCCTGTCTGTCTGACTGTCTGTCTGTCTGTCTGACTGTCTGTCTGACTGTCTGTCTGACTGTCTGTCTGTCTGTATGTCTGTCTGACCCTCACCTGTCTGTGTCTCAGAGATCGTGGAGCGTCTGAAGCAGCCTCCTCCTCTCTGCCGGCCCATCGTTTCGGTGGATGAAGCTCCTGCCGAGTGTCTCGCTCTGATGAACGAATGCTGGAATGAAGATCCGATCAAGAGGCCGAGCTTTGATGACGTTTTCAAACAGGTGAGACGAGCCTCGCCGCCGCCCGAAACATCTGGACTTTAAAGCTATGGCTGTGTGTTGCGATGCCTCCTGACCGGAGTGTCTGGGTTCTGGGTTGCAGTTCCGCGGCATCAACAGAGGGAAGAGGGCCAACATCATCGACTCCATGCTGCGGATGCTGGAGCAGTACAGCTCCAACCTGGAGGACCTGATCCGAGAGCGAACAGACGAGCTGGAGGTGGAGAGGAACAAGACAGAGAAGCTGGTCGGGCAGCTGCTGCCAAAGTAAGAGTCTGGAGCCGCAGTGACACCTGGTGGCCACTGGTGCACCTGCAGACAGAAACAGCATCGTGAACACTGAAACACACCCGCAGTCAGGAAGGACAGCTGACCCCTGTTGGGTTTAGGCAACGTGTACGCTGTCATGTTTCCATGATTAAATGCAGCTGTGGGCAACGTTCCCACAACATTTAGATAACATTACCTGCAAGTTCTAGTGTTTTTTAAAGAGACTATTTTAGTCTAATGTTTAAAGAGCTTTGAAAGAACGTTTTCATTTCCAGTCATGTTCCCATAAAGTGGATTTAATGTTCTGATGGCAACATTCAGGAACACAGATGATAAAGGAGAAAGGGTTACTACACCTTAATCCTCACTAGGGTCATGGGGGGCGGAGTCTATCCCAGCTGACTCAGTTTGAAGGCAGGTTCACCTGGACAGGTAACCAGTCTATCACAGGCGCTAACGGTGCTAACCACTGAGACACCTGCAGGCCTCATTATCAGCCAGTGATTTACTACTTTACAGAATGATTTCAGTGTTCTGGACATTTGTAGAACAGAAAGGCTGTCTGAGATAATTCCAGATGATTCCACATGTTTGCTGGTTGGAGGTCATGAACCTCCTCAGAGTCTCTGTCATGGTCCCACTGCTGCTAAACTCCCACAATGCTCTCTGCTGCCAACATGAGCTGTAGTCTGAGTGACGCCTCCTCTGGTCTCTACAGGATTAAACAGTAGGAGGCTCCACCTGGTGGAACATCCGGGTACTGCAGCTGGTCTGTGGTACATTTTCTGACGTCATGACCTTTTTTTCTTCTGCCTCATCAGTTCACATGTTTTTATTTGGTTTACGTGTTATTGGCAGCTGACTTACTAACTGGTGACCATTCATGTTGCTGGTTGGGTGTGATGGCGGCGGCTCGTGGGAATCATTTGTTGTTTCTCTGCATCCAGAGCTCATCAGACAGCAGATTATTGCGACTCAGCAGCACATGAGTTCATGTCCCGGTTTGTGTTTCAGGTCTGTGGCTCAGGCTCTGAAGAAAGGCAAACCGGTCCGACCTGAGCATTACTCCGACTGCACCCTGTACTTCAGCGACATCGTGGGATTCACCACCATCTCAGCGCTCAGTGAACCTATCGAGGTAGCTGCTGTTCTAAGTGGTCCAGTTCCAATAGTTCCTCCTTCAGTGTTTCACTGAGCCTCTGTGGTTTCAGGTGGTGGATCTGCTCAACGACCTCTACACCATGTTTGACGCCATCATCGCCACTCATGACGTCTACAAGGTGACGGATCCACCAACACCTTGACTCTTACAGTTGGTAGTTTGTCACGTCTGAGGCCGATGTTGTTGTTTTTTAAATGTTGGGTTTAAAACATCAGGATGACTGATTCCTACTGATTCATGCGGATGTGTTTGTGCTCCACCTGCAGGTAGAAACCATCGGAGACGCCTACATGGTCGCCTCAGGGGTTCCCAACAGGAACGGTCACCGACACGCAGCAGAAGTGTCCAACATGTCTCTGGACATCCTGCACTCCATCGGAGCCTTCAAGATCAAACACATGCCTGAGATCAAAGTGAAGATACGCATCGGGCTGCATTCAGGTACACTAACACTAACGAACACACTAACAGACACACATGGCTGGCTTTGTGCTGAGAACGTGAACGCAACTTGGGCTGAACGAGGACCGCATGCTTATAACAGGAGCCCTGGTAGAACTCCAGGAGGTTCCTCCATTGGGTTCCTTGGGGACCATGATTGGATTCCTTAAGCTCCCATTATAAACCCTCAGGAACCAAGTGGGGGTAAAGATCTGGTCCACTGTTTCATGGCCAGGACAGAATCCACATAATCCTGAGTCCAGGGTTTGACTGTTGGTTGGAGCCTCTTCTCTAGAACCCTGGAGTCCAGTTACCTGGAGGGGCAGTTAGGGTCAGTGCAGTGTGATGCCCTCATGGTTGGAGCTCACCCTCCAATCCCTGTTTTATAAATGTGACCACCACCCTGGTCTGTCCACGGCCCACTGGAGACACGTGTCAACCAGACTCACCCACACCTGGCTCCTCTTCTGAACTAACTGAGCTCAGGAGGTGGTCCAGACCATCAACGTCAGAACCAGGAGTCCAGCACTAGCACCGTCCAGCGTCTTGTAACAGAGTTCACATGTTCTAACTGAGAAGACTCTTGGAAATGAAGCTGTGTGCATGTTTCTACTTAACTCCTCTGTGTTTTAAAATGTGACCAGTAAGATGCTGGTTGAAGGTTCTCCTTTGCTGGTCTTCAGGTCCGGTGGTGGCAGGTGTGGTCGGCCTCACGATGCCCAGGTACTGTCTGTTTGGAGACACGGTGACCACGGCGTCCCACATGGAAGCGAGCGGACTGCGTACGTAGAACCTCAGTCAGAGATTCATCCATAAAGTGACCTCAGACTGACCAGTGACCCTCTGGTGTTGTCGTGTTGTTGGTCTGCAGCCTACAGGATCCATATCAGCCTGAGCACAGTCAAGGTCCTGACCAGCCTCAAACTGGGATATCACATCGACACCAGGAAGGCTCAGGTACGCTCACCTGCTCACACCTGTTCAGACCCACGCTGTACTGGTTCCCGTCTGGAGGTTCAGGTGTTCCAGCTGAGAGAAGAATACGGAAGCACTCCACAGCAGTGAAGTCAGCGTGGTACCAGGGATCACGTTGTTCTGTTCCTCATCAAACAGATCTTTTAGTGATTGTGAATCCTGATCAATGCCGTTTAGGATCATACGCACTTCATGTTCTGTGGACCAGCTGCAGTACCTGGTTGTTCCACCAGGTGGAGCCAATTATGGTTTTATACAGTACAGACCAGAGGAAGCGCCACTCTTTGGATCAGGACCTACTGATCGTCCCTCCGTTATCTACACACCTTAACCCTTTCAACACTACAGCCCGCTACACCGGTCCGTGGCTTTACCCCGTCCACCCCGCGGCCCGGTGAAGCGGCTCCGGTACACGGCCACTGTCTGTTACATTCATTCTGATTGGCTCTCAGCGGGAATCCCCGCATGTGGACAAGCGATTCGGTCATGAACTAAATTATGCAAATAGTAATAGTAATAATAATAATAATAATAATTGCATAGTTTCTCTATGGTCCGTTAGCAGCATTCGTTGAGAC